CCGAGCTCGGCTTCATTGTCGTACCGGACTCAGCCATAAGGGAAGTCCAAAAGGCCGACATGAAGCGAGTATCTCGGTCGCTCACTATGTCTTCCAGAACACCCTGGTTGGTAATCCAACCGGTGTGCAAGAGTCGTGCGAGCTCAGGTGCTGCAGCATGATACTTGCAAGGAAGGAAGCGAGCATACTTGCTCAAACGGTCAACGACCGTGAGAATACCGTCATGGCCGAGGCGATCGCGGGGGAACGGGCCTGTCACGTCCATAGCAATGGAGAGGCGCGGTGCCCGAGGAATCGGCAACGGTTTCAGTTCGCCGAAGGGGATTCGAGATCAACCCTTGCTACGATGGCAAACTGCACATGACTCAATGTACCTTGTGACGTCGTGAAGGACGTCGGGCCAGTGAAAATGCTGGCGGAGGCGTGCTAATGTGCGGTTTACGTCAAGGTGTGCCGAAAGTCGTGCGTCGTGGAATTCGCCGAGAAGGTGAGTCCGTAATATGCGATTTTGGGGCACAACTAACAAGTCCTTTCCTCTCGTGTGAAGGAGAAGGAACCCGTCGGAAATCCGATATTGACTAGCCGGCGGGTGATCCGATGAAAGCTCCGCGTAAAGCGTAGAGTAAGTCGGATCGGACTTGTAACCTTTGACGAAATGCAGCTGCAGATCGTCATCGAGGTCGAATGCCGTGGTCACAATGGCACAAAAATCCGACCGTCGTGAGAGGGCGTCCGCAGCTCGATTGGCGGGACCGGGAATGTGGCACGGGTCAAAGTCGAACTGGTCGATGTAATACATCCATCGACCGATCGTGCTAGTGACCGTATCCTGTGTTTTGTAAAAGGTCAACGGATTGTTGTCCGTATTCCATTTAAAACGCCGACGACCGAGAAGAAAGTGGCGCCATCGTTTGAGAACGGTGACGAACGCGAGTAGCTCTTTCTTCCTAGCGTCATCGAGAGTGTTGACGAGAGGCACCTTTTGGGAGAAATACTCGACCGGATGCCAACCGTCCTCATGACACTGTTCCAACACCGCACCAATACCGTATCCCAAAGCGTTCGTAGTCACTTCGGTGGGAAGGGTGGGGTCGTATATACGGAGGGCAAGTGCGGCTTGCATTGCTGCCTTCAACGTAGTGAACGCGCCACGGGCTGCGTCGTCGAACTCGAATGGCACCTTTGGGGACTGAAGTCTCGACAAGGGAGCGGCCACTTTCGAGTATGACTCGACGAATCGTTCATAATATCCAGTCAAACCCATGAAAGAGCGTACATCCGTCGTGCAACGGGGTTCCGGCCAATCCGCGATGGCTTGGATCTTGTTCTCTAAGGGACGAATGCCTTTCGGCGTGACATAGTGACCCAAGTACTCAAGCTCCTGCTTGGCGAACTCGCACTTGTCGAGATTCGCTTTGTACTTGGCCAGTCGCAAACGATCCAAAACAGCGCGAAGGTCTACGATGTGCTCGTCCAACGTCCTACTATAAACCAAGATGTCATCGAGGTAGATGAGGACGCTGCGATCGAGCAAGTCACAAAACTCAGTCGTCATAGCTGCTTGGAAAGTCGCGGGGGCATTGGTGAGGCCAAATGGCATGACAACCCACTCAAAGTGCCCGTACCGCGTCTTGAACGCGGTCTTGTACCAATCTTGAGGTTGGATTTCAATCTGGTGGTAACCCGACTTCAAGTCCAACTTCGAGAAGTATGTTGCGCCGCCTAACCGCTCAAGGAGATCATCAATCCGAGGGAGAGGGCCAGTGTTCTTTACGGTTTGTGCGTTAAGTTTCCGATAATCAATTCATAACCGTAGATCTTTGTTCGTCTTCCGGACGAAGAGAACAGGGGCACCGTAAGGTGAACAACTGGGGCGAATCCAGCCCTTGTCAAGGAGGTCGTCGAGTTGTGCGCAAAGCACCTCGAGTTCCTCTTCGCTCATGCGGTAAATGCATCCACGTGGAGGGACGGCGCCAGTCTCGACAATGATCCCGTGACATATGGGCGGATCCGGAACCGTTCCGGTGGGAGCCTCGAAGACGTCTCTATACTCGTCCAAGAGGTGGGAAATGCGTGGGTCTGGCCGTGACGCGGCTGGTCCGTCTGGCGAGGGGAGAGCATGCAAGAATACAAGGTCCATCTCCTCGACGTCATTCCGAGCTATGGCGTCGCGAATTCTCGCAACGGAAACCACGTGACAAGCAATCGAAGTGTGAGGGGTCGCGACCGTACATGGGACTAACACTCCGTTCCGATCACGGATGTGAACGGTCCGGTCATGAAAGTTCACCGGATGATCGGCGCTACGCAACCAAGACATGCCTAGAATCATGTCGAACTTGGTGTCGAGGATGTCAAAAGACACTGACTCACACTCAAGTGGCGCAAAGTATACCGGAACGCCGTCGACGCATCGGTCAATAGACTTTTGCGTGCGGCCGTCCGCCAGTGTAACTTGCGTAGGTTGTGTCTTCCTTCGAACGCGCGGGCCAAGGCCTGCGCGGGCCATAAAGGCTTGGCTCATGAAATTGCGAGATGCTCCGCAATCAATCAAGGCACTGCAAGTTGCTTTCCGACCTGAATGCGGATATAGAGCAAAGGCGCGTCGGTCTCGGCGTACCTTTGGGTGGCATACTCACGGTCAATCTTCGCAAGATAGGAGCGGAGATCGACAACCGCTACTCCGTCGTCCGTCAACGGAGCTGGTATTGCAGCGTGCAAATAGGAGTGTAGATTGGCCATCAAGGCGTTACAATGCGGCCTTGGCAAGGTTCCGGTTGAGGGTAGAGGCATCCAAGCGAAGTCCTCTCTCGTGAGCGGGTCAGGCTCCTCAAGTCTTGACCACGCCGTCGAGTCCTCGGAAATCAGTGGCGAGCTGACCGGATCACTTGCCGACGGTGTACAGGCTGCGCATACGCTATCTAAGTGCACGTGGCTAGGCTGGTCTAATGGTGGTACCAGCTGGGCGGCATAATCCTCGTACATAGCATGAGAATCAGCGACTAACGCATGCTCCCCGGTAGTGACATCGGTTGCTAGCAAGGCAACCCGTTCCGGCGGAGTGAGGAGAGGCGTCGCCCCTCTCCTTGCGTAACTCAGTTTCCCGAGTTCGCTGGACGGGGTACGCGTGCCTTGCCCTTTTCGGGGCATTGTGCGGTCAAGTGAGTAACACCATTGCACCAAAGGCAATATCCGTACCGTTGACGAAGATCAAATACTTCCTTGGTTATGTTGAGCGCCGTCCATGGTTGCTGCCCAGTTCCCCGTCGCTTGTGTCGCCTTGTTCTTCCGAACTCTCTTGGGACGCTTCGGCGGGAATGCTGCGACAGTTCCTCCATCACTCGAGGATGCTGCTGCAACGTGGAGATCGACTGATTCTTCAGAAATCACGGCATTGTTATGCGTCGGTCGTTGATAGCCCTGCTTAGCCACATAGTGCGGCTGGGACTGCCGTTCGTTAGCGGCCTTGTCATCCGTTTGGATGACCAGGTTCGCACGATCCAGAATGGCCTAGAATGAGGCATAGTCGTACTCGTTGTCGAGTGCCGACTGCAGTCCTGCGCACGATCGCGAGAAGAACTCGGATCGTTGGTTTGAAAAACTCAAATCGAAGCCTTGCGTTGTCACTATCTTCTGCCACTTGATCGTCCAGTCTCGAGTTGGCATGCTTCCTTGTGAGCTTGTGTAAACCTCGTTCATGGCTGCCTTCACGACGTTGCGGACCATGAAGCGAGTGAACCACAGTTGCTCGAACTCCTTCCACGTAATGTGCGTGTGGAGTTCGGCGATGGTGCATTTCTTGGTGGCCGCAAGATGGTTCATCCATGTCTGTGCTCCTCCAATCAGTTCGAGGTAGAGCGCCTTCATCATGTCTTCAGCTGGGACAGTGCGGCAGGATGCTTCCGTGAGGAAGCCTTGCCACCATGTCAAGGCGTCCGTCTTGTTGTAGTCGTCGAACTTGCTGATGTTGAAGTGCGGCATCTTGTAGTTCTTTGTAGCGGCGTCCGGTCTTGTCTGCAGTTTGGTGATGTCCGTCTTGATGGCGGCCACCGTGCTGCTGATCGTGTCCGGACTAGTGAAAGCACCTAGTTCGCCAATGATGGTGACGACATGGTCGATGCGCTCGCCGAGCTGCTTCGCCGTGTCTGTCGTGCAGCCTGGCACTGCTTGGGAAGGCCTTGCCTCCAGAGCAGCAATGCGGGAGTCCATCTGTTGCAGCTGGGAGTCCGCGACCTTGATGGTTGCTGCCAACGTCTTCACGTTATGGCTAAGATCGTGCTGCAGCTGCCGTGTAGACCGGGAATGAAGGTCCCCCATGGTGCTGTTCCAGATGACTGCACGCATCGTGCATGGTAAAATGTCTGTCAGGTTATGTCTCTCCTGTTGTACTGCCGTCGGCTCGGCGCCTGCGACGGGGACATAACGCACCCCGTTGAGCACAGCAGCCCACTGATTGTGTTGAGCGATCAGAAGGTCGGCACTGTCGGCGTTGAGCTTGTCGGCCGCCAACTGCTCCGCCTCAGCTTGTTGCTGGGCTTGGGCTGCAGCTTCTGCTGCCAGCCGCCTTTTGTCTGCTTCGGCAGCATCTTGCCGTTCCTTGGCAAGGGTTAGTGCGGCCGTATAGGTCTGCACTCGCTGAAGGTAGTCCGTGATGGACTCGTTCGGCCCTTGAACCGGACAGACCGGCAATGGTTCGGCATTGCTAGATGTCGAAGTCTCGGATGATGTTCCGCTGTTGGGCGTGATCGCCATCTGAGTGCTGGTCTGTGGCTGCTGTCGAACTGCAGGTTGCTGTTGCTGTTGGCGATCTGCGATCCTCTTGCTGCGTCGTGGCTGCTGTTCGGTGGCTTTCCCTGCTGGCATCAGAGAACTGCTGCTGAAGGCTGGCTAGTCCAAATGGTCGCAGAACAGTGAGGGGGAGAGGGTGGGCACAGGGATAGCACAGATCAAGCAATTCGCATACAGTCCCTGTCCCAACTATGGACTTAGACACCTAATCAAACAGAAAAAGATAAAGTTTCCCTGAAACAACTTAAAAATTCGTAATAAGAAATAATAACGAATTAATAATCAATAAAATTTAATTAATGATTAATAATGAATTAATACTTCTTAATAATAAAACAATAATTGCAATAAGGATAATTAACGAATTTAAATTGTGGAAAGATTAGGTATCCGTTGAGATCATCTATGGTCCGGGAGTTCACTGTTGATTAGTGAACTGCCCGGAAGTTGCGATTCTGAGGGAAAGATTCCGAACAGTTTGCCAAAAAAAAATTCGGAAAATCAGGAAGAAAAACACTCGAATTTTCGAAAAAACGTAAAATTTTGGGAATTCAACCTACAAAATCCGATTTTTAACGGCCTGAGTCCGTATTCGGAATTTCTCCAACTAGGGAAAGAAAAAAAAATTCGCGAAAATTTCGGATCACAACCCTAATTTTCCGCGATTCCGCGGAATTTCCGGTTTTACGGTTCCAAAACATCCGAATTTCCCAATTTGAACAAAAACCGAAATTTATCGTAACACTAATTTCCAATACCGAAATAAAACGGAAATACCGATTTAGAAAAACGAAATGCCGGATTAAAAACAGAATGCCGAATTAAGAACGGGATACCGAATTGAAATCATAACCGAATTAAAACAGAATACTGATTTAAACAGCGTAACGAATTAGAATCAGAAAACCGAATTAAACAGAATACCAATTAATCGGAATACCGAATTAAACAGAATACCGGATTAAAACAGAAATCCGAATTGAAAATCCGAATACCGAATTGAAACGGAATGCCGAATCAAACAGAATACCGAAAAAAAGAAAAAAAAAATTGCAACTTTGAATCTCGATAGTAATGCAGAGCTGATTTGGAAGATCGAAGAAGCAATCTATTCCTAAATCAGACTTACCTTGTGAGCAGATCCATTATTTGGTCTGCTCCGATACCAAAACTGTTGCATACTTGTGAGTACTTCAACAAGTATGGGCAGAACCAAGAGATCAACCAATATAGGATGAGCATGTATGCAGCGGAAGTGTGATAAATGGACTGACTCACATAGACTGACTCACATAGACTGACTCACACAGATATCACTCCACACACAAACAATCGTGAGATGGTGGGGTCTGAGCCAATCATGGACGATGCTCAGGCCCCGTACACACATACACAGATGAAAGGTGGGAGGAGAGACGAAGGAGGTGGGAGATGTAGGCAGC